ATCCCTACATCACCCTGATCGGATCATCCAATTTTGGCAATCGAAGCGACGCACGAGATTTGGAATGCACCTTGCTCGTCGAAGATCTTCAAGCGTGCCATTTGGATGCTGGGCCGCTCGCTCGCTCTACGAAATCTTTGGCGCTGGACGACGCGGAGCCGCAAGAGACCGAGGGGAAGAGAAAGAGCAGCTTCTTGTCGAGCAGCTTATCGGACGAGCTGAAGAGTCTGCAGCTGTACGCTACGGATCAAGTTTCTGAGGAGCTCTTTGAGAGAAGAGAGAGAAAGGTTCATTGGGGAGTCAAATTTACTACTAGATTGATCAGAGGACTTTTGTAAATTTCCCGAGACATCTTCTTTCTCGCGCTTGAATAAAATAAAAAAAGATGAGCGTGGCGCGAGAGTACCCTCTTTGGTGGGGAGGTGTAAAATAAGGGTGTGCGAATAGACCTGTTGCGATGGCGACAACAATTACTCCTTTTCAATCGTATCAGGCAGTTCCGACCGAGCGGGAAGGAGAGTCCTCGGTCACTGACCCACATCGTCGAGTCTTCTCGGTGCTTCAAAGTCAAGTCACAGAGACGATGTGCGTGGCACCTAGGCGGAATCACCCCGAGTCCTCAGCTCAGACGTTTGGCTAAGTCTTCGCAGTTCTAAAAGGGTTCGAGTACGAGGTATGTTACAAGGTCTGCGACTGGGCTATGCGAGTAGTGCGAAGGATGCTCTTGCAGCGCTGAAGTGATTCGGGAAAGAGTGATGATGAGGATGATGAACGCGAACACTGACTGACAGTCTACTCTGATTGGGAAATTGAGGACGATGGCTGCCGCGGTCGCAGTGAGTAGGCTCAAACCTGATGCACTTCCAAAAGTGACGTGCCAGACCTTGAGTTTGCCGCACGCGTAGTCATCGCATCGCAGTACGATCATCCACGCGACCTTCTTCCTCTCTTTTGCAGAGTCCGCGCGACAGGTGTCGAGTTGATTGATCACTCCCTTGGCCAGAGAACGGCGCAAATGAGGACGACAAGGAGCACAGCAATACTCTCATTCGAGACGATCCCTGGCGCTATGCCAGTACGACTGGTAGCCGATATTCCGTCGGTACCCATCGTTAGCATAGAAGCATGGTCGTCTTTGCTGTGTCCCACAAACGTAGACCTGTCGCTTTGTGGCGAAGTAGCGCCAAGTCGAAGACCTAGCGCACCGTTTATAATGCCGCCGACAGGGGAAAGGGGGGCAAATCGTGCAGCTCTCTGACTGGATGAATCGTGAGTAGCGTCAGGCGAATCATCCTCTTGCTTCTCTGTCCCGCCATACATTCCACGGCTCTCCAATCGAGTCAGAGCTGCCTCGATGCGGTTCAACTGAGACGATTCAGCTCCGTCCATATTTGCACGGGTGGCTGATTGCCCAGGAGCTTCGTCGTAGTCGGGCTCGGAGACGAGATTTGGTTCATGCTTGCCCCTCTGCAAGGAGAGCTCATCCACTAAACAAGCCAGGGCCAAGTCCAGCTTGGCTATCCATACACGACGGGATCTGCCATCCAGAATCTTCGTTCTTGTAGCTTTGCCTTTTCTCTCTAGCGCGGAGCCATTGTGGCCCAGCAGCTCTTCCGGCAACAGAATAATGTGACTACCACAAACCGATAAAGGCTCTTTTCCCCGCAAAGAGGTTCCCTGCACGAGCGAGGCCAGCAACCTGACGGCGACGCTGATGAAAGGTAGCATTTAGCGTATCAGGGACATACCCAGGGAACAAGTAGCTGGGTTTCGTGCATGTGCCCTCGGCACACACTCACCACTTGTGTGCTATCTCTTCTGCATCCAAGGTATCCCCCCTCATTTCCGGCGCCTTAATTGATTGTCCGTCTTCCTCTTGTGCGCTCAGAAAGGTCTCGAGTCGCTGTACACTCCAGCGCACGAGTTGCTGATTGACAGCTCGCGCATCAGCTTGACGAAGAGTGACTGGCTCCGCCGAACGAGGAGGATTGTAATTGAGCATAGCCGATCGCCTTTGCTCGGGCGAAACGAGCGTGCGGATCATTTGACCTGCTGCCAAAGGCTCTACCACTGCAAATTCGCTGGCGGTGAGTGAAGCGGTAGAATAGGTGCCTGGATCCAGCACGCTGGATGGAACTCTCCAGCTGCGTCGCAAGGCTCTGCATGAGCATAGAGCTTGCCTGTCACGTAGCTAATTTGAAAACTCACTTGTGCACTAGACCGCTGCTGCCTTCATCCAAGGACCAGACATGCCTTGTAGACCAGCTCAGAAGGGATGCCAAAGGTTCGAGAATGTTGAGGCTTTCTGCTACGCGACGAGCAGTAGCAAGTGGAACCTGTAGGCCATTGAGTCACGCAGGAGCGAGCTTAGCCGCTTGTCGGAGATTTTGAGACCGCGTTGCTCACCCAGATCTCATCCCACGGCTCTAGTCCAGCCAGCGTCATGTCGAAATCCATACGATCACGGCGCAATCCAAATCGAAGCAGACCCTCTGCGACTGTGAGACCTGCACTATGAAGTATGGCGGCGAGGGACACGAATGGCTCAGAGTGCTCAGGATCCATGATGCTGAGCGGTGGATGGCAAAAAGATGAAGAGAGTGAGCGGTGAGCGTACAGATTGCCAAGACGGATGGGATGGAGCAGTCCTCTCGCATTCATGCCCAGCTTCTGATCCTCGTAGATCTACTGCTTCCACTTTCGTCTGGCTCAAGTCGGGACCATCTCCGTCGCGCGACAGCTTCTCCAATGAATTGCTCACCGTACGATGACATGACCGTTTATGTGGACGCAGAGTGAGGGACAGAGCTTGCCTCCGGGTCGATTGGATGGCAAGAGGAGGAATCGCAGAGGTAATGGTCTTCTATCAGACAGATCCTTCCACGTCTTTAGACGCCTCGGCGACGTGCTGAGCTGGCTAGAGTCTAACAGCGAGCCCAATTCTCGCATCTTGATAGGTGCAGACATCTGCGCAGCGTGACCATTCTGGGAGATTTGTGGCATGCTGAGCCAGGGACTTTGTGCTTTTGATCTCGATGGGCTGGTGCATGAACACGCGGGTCAAGATGACGGATGACCGATAGCGCTGCAAAGACTTCCCCGCGCTTCCATCACACCTTTTCTTGACCGATGAAGCAGCGGCGAGCTTGCGGCGGTTGAGCATGGGTCGATGCGTATAGCTTCAGTTTGTATGTGCGCGACTAGCGTGTGAGGCGTAGGGGAGTCGGGGGAGGAGGCTTGCAGGGCGCATCATCCGAGGATCGGATGGCGTTGGTGGCCGGAGTGCTCACAGCTTCATACGATTCGACCTTGGGTAGGTGGTTGGGTTGGAGGGGCTCGGTTCGCGTCGCTTATAGGCAGATGAATATGGCTATTATAGCTCTTCTTGTGCAACAGTCACGAGTCGTGAGTCACACACAGCTCAAGCTGCAGCCGTCAAGTCACGAATGGTCACACATACCAAAGAGCGCGGTGCTTCGTGTACCGTACGGTACCGCTACGCGTGCAGCATCTGCAGCGCAGGATCCTGGCGACCGTGGTCTGTGCGTGGGATGGCGCGCAGAAAGCTGCATGCTGCGTTGTGCTGTGCGTGCATGCATGCATGCATAGGGATGGCGCTTGACGACCACACTCACAGACTCCATCCCAAATCCTTTCTCAATCTCTTCGACCCGCTCTGCGTTCAAGCTTCCGATCTCACAGTCACGCAAACTCGCAAAGCGGACGACAACTTTCGAATTCGTGGTCGCGGTCGCGATCGATAGCGCGCACGGCTCGCCAGCTGCACTTCTCAAGTCTTGACCGGCCAATTGGTGATCAGACGAAAGAGCGCATACATACGGCTGCTGGCTCACTTGGGTA